TGAGAGACACTGTTTTAAATAAATGAGATTCATACCAAAAGAAAAATGTTAGTAAAAATTCAGCATTCGTGCTGTGATATTTCCACATCATTTTTTAAAACTGGGAACTGGACAATAAATTGATATCCTTTTTTTTTTCAATTCTTTCACATCCTTATTTTTAATTTTTTAGTATTTAAATTTATTTAACTAATATTTTAATGTAATTTTTATTTATTACAGTTTATTCACTTTTTATCCCAGCTGTAGCCCCTTCCTCATTCCCTCCCAGTCCTAAGCTTCCTTCCTCTCTCATCTCCTTCCATGCCCTTCCCCAGTCCACTGATAGGGGAGGTCCTCCTCCCCTTCCATCTGACCCTACCCTATCAGGTCTCATCAGGACTATCTTTCATAGTCTTCCTCTGTGGCCTGGTAAGAGTGCTCTCCCCCTCAGGGGGAGGTGATCAAAGAGCCAGCCACTGAGTTCATGTCAGAGACAGCCCCTGCTCCCCTTATTAGGGAGCCCATTTGGAGACTGAACTGCCATGGGCTACCTCTGTGCAGGGGGTCCATACCCCTAGGCTCAGATTTTTTGGTTCGGTTGTTCTCCTTGTGGAGCTCCTGTCCCCTCCAAGTCTTTCTATCTTCACCTTCTTTCATAAGATTGCCTGCACTCTGCCCAAAGTTTGGCTCTGAGCCTCAGCATTTGCTTTAATACCCTGCTGGGTAGAGTCTTTCAGAAGCCCTCTGTGGTAGGCTCCTGTCGTTTTCCTTATTTTCACCTTCTTCCAATGTCTATCCCATTTGCCTTTCTGAATGAAGATTGAGCATCTTACCCAGGGTCCTCCTTCTTGTTTACCTTCTTTAGGTATACACATTTTAGTATGATTATCCTATATTATATCTAATATCTACTTATAAGTGAGTATATACTATGTGTATCTTTCTGCTTCTGGGATACCTCACTCAGGATGAACTTTTCTAGCTCCCACCATTTGCCTGCAAATTTCATGATTTCCTTGTTTTTCATTGCTGAGTAGTATTCCATTGTGTAAATGTACCACAATTTCTGTATCCATTCCTCAACTGAGGGACATCTGGGTTGTTTCCAGATTCTGGCTATCACGAATAAAGTGGCTAAGAACATGGTTGAGTAAATGTCCTTGTTGTATACTTGAGCTTCTTTTGGATATATGCCTAGGAGTGGTATAGCTGGATCTTGAGGTAGCACTATTCCTAATTATCTAAGAAAGCGCCAGATTGATTTCCAAAGTGGTCGTACAAGTTTACATTCCCTCCAGCAATAGAGGAGTGTTCCCCTTTCTCCACATCCTCTCCAGCATGTATTGTCACTTGAGTTTTTGATCTTAGCCATTCTGATGGGTATAAGGTGAAATGTCAGGGTCATTTTGATTTTCATTCTCCGATGACTAAGGATGTTGAACATTTCTTTAAGTGTTTCTCTGCCATTGGATTTTCTGGAATAAAACCTAGAATCGCTAAAACAATCCTCTACAATAAAAGATCTTCTGGAGGGATCTCCATCCCTGATCTCAAGCTGTACTGTAGAGCAACAGTAATAAAAAAACTGAATGGTACTGGCATAGAAACAGGCTGGTGGGTCAATGGATTTGAACTAAAGACCCAGACATAAACCAACACACTTTTCTTTTACAAAGATGCCAAAACCATACAATGGAAAAAAGATAACATCTTCAACAAATGATGCTGGTCTAACTGGATATCTACATGTAGAAAAATGCAAATAGATCCATACTTTGATCCAAGTGGATCAAAGACCTCAACATAAAACCAGACACACTAAACCTGCTAGAAGAAAAAGTGGGGAAGAAAAAAAAAAGTGGGGAAGAGCCTTGAACTCACTGGTACAGGAAACAACTTCCTGAAGAGAACACCAACAGCACAGGCTCTGAGATCAACAACCAATAAATGGGACCTCATGAAACTGAAAAGATTCTGTATAGCAAAGGACACGGTCATCAGAACAAAACGGACCTTCACCAACCCTGCATCTGACTGAGGGCTAATATCCAGAATATATAAAGAACTCAAAAAGTTAAACAGCAACAAATCAATTAATCCAATTTAAAAATGTGGTAAAGAGCTAAACAGAGAATTCTCAATCCACATCCTTTTTAATTGAGTCACAAAGCAATACGTTTAATAAAATTGTACTTGTGTATGTGTGACTAGATCATTTTTATTTTATAATTATGAAAAATATAAGCTTACCATTTTTATGACTAAGTGCATTCCCATAAGCATAAGTGAAAATCTTAGGAAACTTAAATACTGAGTTCTGAGGACATGCTTGTGAAAATCGGTTTCCGTTGCAGGAGGTGGGATTCACTACAGATAGCAGTCTTTTTCTGCAGTTACTTTTCCCGAATTTCCCCTCACTAATTATGCTTCTTCATGGCAGTCTCTTATTTTTATTTGTTATATTTCCTTCGTTACTTGTTATATCCCTTTCTTTCCTAAAGAAACTCTGTTTCTTCTGAAGTGAAAACTAAATATTTTTTTAAAGATTTGTTTGTTTGTTTGTTTGTTATTATACAATGTTCTGTCTGCATGTACCCTGCACACCAGAAGAGGGCACCAGATCTCATTAAAGATGGTTGTGAGCCATCATGTGGTTGCTGGGAATTGAACTCAGGACCTCTGGAAGAACAGCCAGTGCTCTTAACCTCTTGAGCCATCTCTCCATCCTGAAAACTAAATCTTTCAAGGACAGTTCTGGGTATTTTTACATCAAGAGGCATTACTCCCAACATGATAATCATGAACAGCACATACCATGGCGACTTCTACTTTAAATTATCTCTGGTAATTATGTTTTATTTTATTCTATGGTATGTTTTTGAGAAGACACATACTCTTTCTTATTGGATGTTGTTTTACAAGTTAGAAAATTCAGTAATGTATCTCTACAAATGCTTTCAATCCAATAATACAGTATGATATAATAAGTTGTTAATTTTAAAAGGCATATTTTCAAGCAATTAGAACACACTAAAAAAGAAATAATGATGGTGATGATAAAACAAATTAGCCAGGCATGATGGCACATGCCTATAATTCCAATGTCTCTTGAGAGGTAGAGACGTGAGCATTACTGTAAGTTCAAGGCTGGTCTGTAATACAGAACAAAACACTATCTCTGCAGCCTGTCCAAAAAATAAATCAGTTAGATGAAATGTATTTGAATCAATTACTTCTATTGCTTTTTGTAGATCTGACATCACTTCTCTTTAGCATCAACATCTTCCAGCATTTTGCAGTCTGCTGGAAGTGAACCCTCTGGAGTTGATCTCTCAGAACCAACAAAATATTTCACCGTCATTTTAAACAGATTCATTAAGATAAATTCACAGAGCATTCAGTTCACCCACTGAACTTATAAAGTTCATTGGTTGGTAGTACATTCAGAGTTGTACAAGCTGACTGGTATATAATTTCATAACATTTCATCATCTTGGAAGACATGGCGTCATTCTCCATTCTCCTTATGGATTCTTCAGCCCTAAATGAACACTATTCTGATCCCATCTCTCTTCCTTTCCGGAGATATTTTAATTATGCCTAGCCTGTATAAATAAAATACAATACATGGTATTGGTAGCTGCCTATTTTAGTTTTCATGTGCCCAAACTCCAGACATAGCCAGGGAAATGTCAATGTTTGTTCTTTGTATGGGAGAGTAATTGTCTATAGTCGACATAGCACATTTTCTTTACACATTAGATGAACGTTGGACTTGGTTCTATCTGTGACTCTTATAATTAATGCTGTTGTCTATATAGTTCTATTTTGTGGAAATAGGTTGTTGTTGTTGTTTTTTTTTTTTTTTCATTTCTTTGGGGTACCTAACCAGGAATGGAATTGTTGGGTTCTATGGTGAGGGACTGCTGTTTCCCAAAATGGTAGTACTCTTTTCTTTCCTACCTCAGACTGATTGGGTCACATTCTGTCTACATCCTTCCCAATGCTTATTATAATCTCCTAGTGTATGTTAAATGCTATAATGCTATTTCATCGTGGTTTTGATTTGCATTTCTCTAATGCTTCCTGGTACTTCTTGCGTTTATTGGTCACTTGAATATCTTCTTAAAGAAATGCTATTTTGATTCCTTGCCCACTGTTAATTGGGCTTCTTATGTTTTCATTGGTAAATTATGTTATCTATAGGTTCTAGGAACAGGTCACTTATAAGATATATGATTTGCAAATATTTGCTTCTACTCTGCAGTTTGTGTTTTCACATTCTCCAATGCATAAAAGTTTTATTTTTCTTTTGAGGGTTTTAAAAACTTGTTCCTTGCGCTTTTATGTCACATGCAGAAAATCATTGCCTGATCCAAGGTCTTAAATGTTTACTACTGTTCTTGGTTCCAGTTATCTATAGTTTAACTTTTTTTTCCCCATTGAACAACTTTGACATTCATTTTTTGTATACTACAGTACATAAGAATCAATAGTGATTTTTGGAATAGCTAAGGCCGATTTATTCAACATTTAAAAATAAAAGCAATTTGGGCATCCTGTTAAAACTTTTAAAATCCAGAGTCAGGACAGGAATGGTCACAGGCTGGTTTCTGGGACAGGGTGGAGTTGAGCCCAGCCTCCATCTGGACCAGGTTTCTATTTTAAGCTGAGACAACCTCAAGAGAGGAAGGCCTAAGCCTCATCTCCAAAAGCAGACACCATTGAGGTATCACAAAGAAAGAGCTGGATTGACCTGAAGATGCATTCCTGAAGGGTCTCTGGGTCACCAGTAGGTGGCTTCCATTCTGGAGAATAGTGGTCTGGGTGGGAGTCTGAAGACAAAAGGCCGACATTCAACAAAGATGCTCTTTCTTTCGGTAATGCTGTGTCCCTTTTTCTCAATAGCAAGAAACTAAAATCCAGGAAAGCCATTAGAGAGCAAGCCCCCCCCCCCCCCCCCACTGCGCCTTAAAAGTCTCTGCCGGGGCAGATGTTGTGTAGAGCCGCCTACACTCTCAGCAAGTCTCCTCTTTGGTGGGAGAGCAGCCAGAAAAGAAGGCGCTGTTGCAGGCCAGAGCTCGTTTCTTTTTCTTCCCTGTGGCTTTACTTGCTTGAGACTCTGTTGCTCTGTGTTCTGTGCCTGAGAGATCTAAGGAAACTGCAAGAGCAGTCTTCCTGAACAGAACCTGATCCTTATCACACGTCTCTTTAAGGATCTTGGTGTTGGGAGTGGCACAGACAGGCTTGAAGAAGCTCAGTCCTGGGGTGACCTCTGTAGGATCCTCCAGTTTGAAGGAGTCATCAGAATCCTGGTTCCAATCAATAGTGCCCAAGCTGTCTTGCTCTTGCTGGTGGTTCCTGCACCTTGTGGGGTCGCAGCCACAGGCCACAGTGCAATCCAGCCCTTTTTTCCTGCACCCACAGTGTTTGTTCCTACACCACCCCCTGCAGGAACACCCTTGGACAGTCTTAACAGACATTTTAACCAGTTTCCTGGGTTTCCACTCCTTATCATCAGCGTCACCATCTTCAGATGCACTCACAGAATCCTCTGAATAATACTTTAGCTCCTCAATCTCTATGTTTTGTTTCAGGAACTTGTCTCTAATGTGGGATGGTTTGGGCGGAGGTGGGATGTAGTCAAAGGTAGAATCGGAACATTGAAAGCCATCCTCGGGAAGATGAGATTTCTGGCCTTTGGCTCCTTGAAGGAGGGTCAGTTTCTGCTTGATCGTTCTGTTCTCTTGGAGAAGCTGCTGGTTTTGTTCACACACTTCCTGCATTTTTCTAAGCTCTTCCTTCTGACACTGCAGTGTGCTCAGCAGCTGCTGCTCCCTTCCACTCTGTGACACCTCCAGCTGCTTCTCTGCCATTTGGCTTTGCTGCAGCTGACTGAGAAGGTAGAGCACCTTCTCTTGGTGCTTTTGCTCCACCTTGAGCAACTCAGCTTTCAACTCTGTCTCGACCTCAACGAGACGACTTTGCTCCTCAAACAGCATCTTCTGCATTTTACAATAGCTGGCGTGGCTCTGTTTCAGGTTGCTTTCAAGCTCACTGACCTGAAGTTTGGAGGAGACCACCTCCCCAACTAGATACTTTAGAGCGCATTTGGCTTCCAGCGCTGTAGCAATATTCTCCCAGCGGCGTTTTGACCTCTCTTCACTTTCCGCATCCAGGAGCTTTTGCTGTAGGTCAGCAATCTGAGCACTCCTGAGCTCCATTTCAGCCTCTAGACTTTTAGTCTGCTTTGTAATAGAATCCCCTGCCTCTAAAACATGGCCACATACTTCATCGCTAGCGAAGGTGCACCGCTGGAGCTTAGGAGGTGGGTTCTCCCCAGGTTCCCTGTCCTCTTTAAGTTGAGCCACGTCCTGGGCTAGGATCTTCCGCTCTTCAAGAAGGTCGTTCAGGTGGCGTTTGACCTCTTCGGTACTGACCATAACTTCAATTTCATTTCTCAGCCAGTTCTTCACTCGCGCTTCGGTACCCTCTAATCCACGGCTCTGAGTCTCCTTCCGTTTATCTGCTGCTTCCCGTTGCTTTTGGAGGGCAGCCTTGAGGCGCTTGTTGGCAGCTGCTGCCTCTTCAGTTTTACGCCTGAGCACGTTGGACTGTTTCTGGAAGTCTCTTTCAAGTTTAAGCAGCTCATACCTTCTTTTACGGTCTTGCTCTTTTAATTGGATTACTTCTTTGTCTTTTTGTTGCTTCCACTGTCTAGACTTCTCAGCATCTTCCTTCATCTGACGCATTAACTGGACTCGCTGGGTCTTCATCATCTGTATCTCCAGAGTCAGTTTGGAGACAGTATTCTCAGTGGACTCTTTTAGTTTCAGAAGCTTAGATTGCTCGTGTAGTTTCTTTTTCAGATCACCTATTTGAGCCTCCAGCTCTTGGAGACATCTGCGACGGTGCTCACTCAACTTGGCTTGGTTGGCATCCTTCTTTGCCATCTGAAGATCCAGAAGCAACTGTTCCTTTTCCTTCTGCAGACTGGTGACTTCCGATTCTAGACTTTTGATGTTGGCCTCATACTGGCACTGAATGGGCTGTAGTTGGCAGCCATTGAAAATTATCTTCCTAGCTAGGGCCTCTTTCAGAGCAAGGACTTTATTCAACTCAGTGAGTTCCTTAGACATCTGTGCTTGGCGCAGAGCATGCTGTATGGTGAACGCGCTAGAAGACCTCCTCCTCTCTGGACTGACGGATGCTTGAGCTTCTACCTCCACTGCCGACTCAGTGGCTGCAGCCAGGAAAGCAATGGTTTCACCAGACAGACAAATAATTGCTTGTTGCAGGCTGTGAATTTTCCCTACGTTTTCTATTAACTCCTCGTCTTCCAGCGTCTCCATTAGCTTTTGGAGATCCACTTCGCAGGCCGAGTGATGCCTGAGCTCTTGGAGCTTGGTGTTGATTTTTTCATTTGCTTGTTCTGTCAAAATGATCCTTTCCAACATCTGTGCTGTCTGGCCAGCTGCCTCACTCAGAGCATGGCTTAATTTCTCATTCTCCTCTGCCAGAGACTGATTCTTCTCCATCAGAGATTGGAGGGTCTCTGGAGGATCTGCTTCTGTAGATCCAGACAGGTTACCTCCATGGGCCTGTAGCAGTAACACCCGCAGCTGGTGGACCTGCTGCTTCAGATGATTAATTTCAGCTGTCTGGGGATCAGTATTAACTACAGGTTTGTTCTTGATTTTTCTAGCCCTGTCAGCGTAGCGTAAGGTATTTAATGTTTCCTCTAGATTGGAATCAGCAGGGCTCACGCAGGCGATCATAAGAGTGTGGCTATTGCCTCCCAGGGAATCTTGAAGCAGGCGAGTTAACCTGGAATCTCTGTAGGGCACGAAGCTTCCCTTTTTGCCATCTCCAAGAGCACTGATGACATTTCCCAAGCATAGGAGTCCTAGGTTGATATTAATACCTTCTTTCAGACGATCGCCTTCAGCCTTGGTTTTCTTCTGTCTTTCTGATCCGGCAAGATCTACAAGACACAACTTAGAGTGAAAGCTGCTATTCTTGTCAGTTTTCTTCCTTTGCTTCATGGAAATTGTGAAGATGGCATGAGATCGGGAAGACTGGGAATTCATAGCTGTGGCCGCTACAGTCCTAGAGTTGTTTCCTTGCTCCAAACAGGACACCATGTCAGAGGCAACGGAAACCAGCTTTTCGGTGAGTCCCACAATCTTTATCCCTGCCTTGGGATCCTCCCGGACATGTACCTGAGTAGCTTTCTCACAGGGTGAGCACAGAAGATCCAAAATCTCTTCATTGTAAATCTCCAAGTATGACACGCGCAGCGTGAACTCAGACTCGGTCCTTTCGTCCATTTCTTTGAAAAGCAGTTGTATTACCCTAGGGATGATCCCTGTGGTTGGTTCATTGTCTTGATCGGCATTATAGGCACCTCCCATCGAGTAGGTTTTCCCAGAGCCAGTCTGCCCGTAAGCCAGGACAGTGGCATTGTAACCTTGAAATACGCCTTTAATGAGAGGTGCTACTGCGGTGTTGAAGACCTCCTCCTGCTCGGCGGACGGGTCGAACGCAAAATCGAAGGTGAAGGATTTGTCAGTGCCAATCACCACCTGCGGCTTCCCAGGCACAAAGGAAAGGCACATCTGACAGCCCTCGCCAATCTCTTTGGGAGAGAGGGGGCGACAGCGCAGTGCCACTCTCACAGGGATCCCCTTCACCTCTTCCTTCATGGTCGAAACTCGGCATCTGCTCAAGCCAATCGCTCTTTCCTTGGTCTTCCCCGTCTCCTGGTTTCCTCGCAACTGGAGTTTTAACCGCTGTTTCCAAACCTTGAGGGGCCAGCCAATCAGAGAGCAGGCAGCCTGTGAGCGGAGCCCTGAGCATGCATTCCATCGCCTTATACTGAGGAGTATTGTTTGGTGGTTTGGTTTGGTTTGGTTTGGTGTTTGGTTTGTTGTTTGGTTTGGTGTTTGGTTTGGTGTTTGGTTTGTTTGGTGGTTTGGTGTTTGGTTTGTTGTTTGGTTTGTTGTTTGGTGGTTTGATGTGTTGTTTGGTTTGGTTTGGTGCAGTATGGGGTTTGGTGTTTGGTTTGGTGTTTTCTTCGGTGTATGGTTTGGTGTTTGGTTTTTCCTGATGGAGTTGTTTTAACATCTCCCTGGAAAATTATACTAGTGTTTTAACCTGTGCGCCTAATCTTTGTTAATACCATGTGGTCTTGATATTGTGACGTTGTGCTAAATTTTGAAGAAGCCCCGATTCATTTGTTCTCAATTGACTTGTTTTTTTCATAGTCTTGAGTTCCTTTGGTTTCCTTAGTTTTAAGATAACTTTGCCAGTAACTACAAAATATCCTGCTGGGACTCTGTTTAATCTGCAAATAATTTAGTTGCCTCTGACATGGTTTTATTAATGTAGAGTTTCCAAATAATAATCATGAGCCATCTTTCCATTTATATAGATCTTTGATTTCTGTCAACAATGTCATGCAGTATTCAAGAGTATACCTTTTATATTTATTCTGTCAAATCTATTCCACACAGTCTGTTTTGTATACCTTTCTTTCATTTTACAGCTTTGCTAAACATATTGTGAGTTCTAACAGATTTTTATTAGTCACCTAGATTTTGAAAGATAATTTTGTCAGATATACCATTTCTCATTGCTTTATCTTTTCTTCAGCATTTGAAAAATGCCATTCTAAAGTCAGTTGGCACTATTGTTTCTAGATAAGAAGGCAGCTTTAAATTTTAATCATTCTCTCTGTATGTAATGTGTAATGTAATTTTTCTCTGTACATGTTTATATTTTTCTTTCTGTACTTTCCTGAGTAGGTATCTGAGCTCCATATTTTGTATCTGCCAAATGTTGAAAGCCTTCAATAATTATTTCTGTGTTGTTTTTTGCCCTTTTGTTTATTTTCTTCTTAGGACTCTAATTATAACAATTTGAAAGGCAAGACAGATATTGTCCCACAAGTTTCTAAAACTATTAGATTTCTTTAGTCATTTTTTTCCTAAATTTAACCGATACTTAAAATGTAAAAATTGTACGTTAGTTGGGGTATCAAATGGTATTTCAAGAAAAGTACATATTGTGTAATGTTTGCATAAGGTTAAATATACTCCTCAAATGTGTATTGTTTTTGTTCTTGTTCTTGTTTTTGTTTTCTATTGTTGTTTCTTTTTATATGAGACAGCATCTCATGATTTATGGTGGAAAGGTTAAATTCCCTTTTTCTAACTTTTTGAAATATGTAGTACGTTATCACCATCTCCAACCAGCTTCCTTCTCCTTTAGTATTAGGCAAATTGTCTATCTCTAAATTCACTGTTTCCTTATCTACCTTATTCAATCTCCTATTGATCCTATTTAGCAAATATTTTACTTCAGTTATCATACTTACTAAAGCCTTATTGTTTGCATTTGGTTTTGTTTATATACATTTTTAACTCTGTTTGGAATTAACTATTATCACTCATTTGAACACTTTCCTTCCATCTATGCCCAGATTTGTACAAACAACAGTTCACCCATTGCCTGGTCACTGAAATTTGAATCAGCTGATTGTCTTCATTTCCCCCCATAACATCAATTATATTTGCCTGTTTAATCTTGCCGTTTGTTTGTTTGTTTGTTTGTTTGAAAACTAGACACTGAAGCTAATGTGTGTCAACTCTGGATTCTGGTTTGTAATTCTAAGAAATGCTATTTTTACTGTCAATCTAAAAGGCAGATATTTTCCTTGATTTAAAACAACAACAACAACAACAAAACAAAAACAGAACAAAACCGTAGACTGTCTCACCTCTGGTTCTGATGGTTATTATCTCTGCCAGTTTGTTAGTTTGATTTTGGCCTCCACTGCTTGTCCTTTTAAAGCTGTTCTGAACCGATGCAGCAGGAGGGTCTAGGTTTAGACATGTTTACTGTGTAAATTTCATAGCTCCCCATTCTTACTGCGCTCCTGTTCCAGGGATTTTTCCTCCTTAAATTTCCAAATGCTTCACCAGCCCCATGCCTTGACTTTGACTTATCAAATCAAAAATGATTCATCTTTCTGCTTCCTGGGCTGTTCCCACGTGTGGCTATATAATTATATGTAATTATATAATATCATTGCCATCAATCAGCTAGTACAAACAATATGCAAATTTCCCTTGAACATATGCCATTTTTCTCATAGGTGAGTATAACATGGGAAAAATCCCTAACATTGATTTGCTAGTGAAAACCTTTTATCTATAGGTATCCATATGTGTATGTATTTGGATATTTTTGACTAATTTTCTTTTTTAAAGATCAGGCAGAATATGCCAAAGTAAGTGTTGATAGTTGCATTATAAAAATATATAGCAAGGCAGTAGTGGCACACACCTTTGATCCCAGCAGCTGAAGGCAGAGCCAGGAAAATGTCAAATGTCTTGAGTTCAAAGCCAGCATGGTCTACTGAGTTCCAGGATAGCCAAAGCTACATAGGAAAGCCTTATCTATTAAAAAAAAAAAAAAAAAAAAAAAAAAAAAAAAAGCCAGGCATGATGGCGCAGACCTTTAATCCCAGCACTTCGGAGGCAGACACAGATAGATATATGTGAGTTTGAGGCTAGCCTGGTTTTCAAAGGAAGTTCCAGGATAGCCAGGGCCACATACAAAGAAACCCTGTCTCAAAAAAAACAAAAATGAAAGACCAAGAAACAAAAACAAACAAACAAACAAATAAAAAAAATTCTGATTTATTTTTTCAGGTTCGGCAATCTGACTGTCTGGTTAACTGGTATTTCTAGGGGAAAAAAAAAACACAGCAAACACAGCTACGAGGGCTCTGAAGTAATTCTTGTAATCATGGGTCTGTGGTGCCCAATGTAGCAGCACTGCCTTCATGCAATCAATTAAAGCTTGTCACGTGTGTTGTGTGACAGACTTTTCCTGGCGAGATGCAACACACGTGTCTACTCACTCCAGAAAGGGAGCCAGCAACGGACTAAAGAACCTACTGCACCAGCGTCCATTCTGGCGAACCAACGAGCGTTCCCAAGGCTTGGTAACCGTGTTGTGAGGGGTGATTCATGAGAAACAGGGGTAACTCAAACGCAGCTGCGTCACCAGAAAGCCCACCCTCACATGGGTTGTGACTCCCAGAACCTCTACAAGCTTGCATGCAGCCCACAGTCAGAACACCTCTGTAAAAGGAACTTTTATTCGCCTGTTTCAGTTGTTGTCTTAGAGGCTTACTGCCTCTGTCTGCTAACCGAGGCCTAGTCCCGGAAGCTTCTGGCCTCCGTGCAACCAAACCTCGATCTAGCACATTTTCAACCTCTGAAGATTACTGCTTAATAAACTCACCCTTTCTTATGCTTTCTGAGCTCATAGCGGGCTGGTTCAATTCAGCTGTTCTGGCTCAAACTCCTCTCCCAGCTGACTTATTCAATCTGGCTTTTCTCTCAGTCTCTGAATTGCTCTGCTTGGCCTCAAACTAACTCCAGCAATCTCTTCTAATCTTCTGAATCCTTCTCATTCTCTGGCTTGCTCTGTCTTCACCTGTGTCTAGCTTGTTCTCTCATTCAACCTCTCTCTCTGTTAAAACTTTCCCAGTAAAATTGCTTCCTCTCTCTCTCTCTCTCTGCATTGCCCCTAAAGTAGCTTCCTTTTCCTCTCTCTTCTCTCTCTCTTTTTTTAATGGTCCCACAGAAGGCCTCTTTATTAATTAACACATGTCAACAAAGCTGTAAATTAAGCAGTTACATAGCCAATGCCCTGGAGATCATAGATTATCAAGCCACTCAATCCACACTCCTAGGAGTGAACCCAGCATCCCTCCTTCAGTGGCTCTCAACTGAGCTTCGTGCAGTGGTGATCCCTAACCAAAAACCAGATACCATTTCCCTCTGGAGCCTCGGGGAACAACTACCACATCCTTTCATTAACATGCATATTTTGATAATTTTTTAAAAAATCCTTAGCATTCATGAAGACTGTTCACATTGACACTCCAGCTGGTGTCCATGCAAATGATTCAGAGATATCCTGAAGTGCTGAAATAAGCAGACCTCAAACCATGGAAGCATTACACACAGGGCTGAAGCAAGCACATTCTCCCAAGCTCACGCTTTTCTCTAGAAAGCTACAAGGCCACAAAAACCTTCCCCTAGTCTGTGTAGCCTACTCATAGTTTGGTCTCTGAGAGCAAGAGCTATGTGGAATGATGTCCTTGCTTTAATTTCCACTTCTCCTCACGTTTTCTTTTTCTCATTTATTTTATTCCCTCTCCTTTTAAGAGTTGGGCATATCCTACTCTGTCAAATCCTTCTGATTCATCACTTTTTCTGCCACTCAGATATCCAATTTCAAACATGGCTGTTTGGGGTTTTATGTTTGTTTGTTTTTAACAAACTAACTTTGCCTTCGTTGTTTGGGATTAAAGGCAGGTGCCACCACACCTGGACGTAGCTTTTCTTTACCTGAAACTTGCTCTATAAACAGGCTGGCCTTGAACTCAGATCTGCTTAACTCTGTCTTCTGGATTAAAGCCATATTTGTATTCCAGGCAGATCACCCAGACCTAGAGAGTCTTTGGATGGGATCACTTGCCAGAACAGACATGTTCTAATTAAAATTCCTCTGCATGCCTCTCTCCTGGGATGCCTGGTCAGTCTCTACCCCAGCAACTTCCTTACACAGCTGGGTGAAGACACTCAAGAATCTTCCACATTTTTGTTCTTTCCTTTACCTACTG